TTGAGGCTGTTTTCGTTAGAGAGAAGAAGGTTAAGAGGTGACTTGATAGAGACATACAAGATGATCAGAGGATTAGATAGGGTGGACAGTGGGAGCCTTTTTCCTCGGATGGTGATGGCTAGCACGAGGGGACATAGCTTTAAATTGAGGGGTGATAGATATAGGACAGATGTCAGAGGTAGGTTCTTTACTCAGAGAGTAGTAAGGGCGTGGAATGCCCTGCCTGCAAAAATAGTAGACTCGCCCACTTTAAGGGCATTTAAATGGTCATTGGATAAACATATGGATGATAATGGAATAGTTTAGGTTAGATGGGCTTCAGACTGGTTTCACAGGTCGGCGCAACATCGAGGGCTGAAGGGCCTGTACTGCGCTGTAATGTTCTATGTTCTATGTTCTACGTAAAGGAATTAGAAGTTATGGGGCAAGAGGTAGGAATGTGGAGTTGAGGATGGAGAGATCAGCCATGATCTCATTGAATGGCTAAGCAGACTCAATGGGCTGAATAGCCTACTTCTGTGCTATATCTCATGGTCTTGTAAACTGCTAGTCAAAATGGAAAGGCCAAGGGCATATCATCCCATCCAATTTGATGACTTGTTCAACTTCCCCTTCTCAGCATGCATCCTTTGACCCCTGAGAATCACCACACGAGAGGATTCATTATATCAAATAAAGGAGGGACTAAGAATAATGCAATCATTTGTTTTAACCAGAACAATATTGGCTCTGGAAGGGGAGGAAAGAGTGCTAGTCAAATCAGAGAAAAGCAGCAACAAATGCTTAGATGGAGTAGTCGAAAAATCTTATTGAGCCAAACAAAATGTACCTGGTCTAACTGAGTGTGACTGCTTTCATTCATTCATAGGAAATGAGCATTGCTGGCTGGATCAGGATTTATTGTTCAACTGTCAGTATCCTTGAGAAGGTGATGGTGTGCCTCTTGAGCTACTGCAATGCTGTAGGTAGACCCACAATGCACTTAGGGTGGGAATTCCAGGATTTAACCCAGCTACACTGAAGGAACGGTGGTATTTTTCCAAGTCAGGATGGTGAATGGCTTGGAGGGGAACTTGCAGCGGGTGGTGTTCCCACGTATCTGCTGCCCTTGTCCTTCTAGGTGGAAGTGGTCGTAGGTTTGGAAGGTGCTGTCTAAGAATTTTGGTGAAATTCCGGAGTGTGTTGGTAGGGGAGAGAGTGAATGTTTGTGGATGTGGTGCCAATGAAGTGGGCTTTTTAGTCTTGGATGTTGTTAAGTTTATTGAGTGTTGTTCAAGTTGCACTCATCCAGGTAAGTAGGGAGTATTCCATCACACTCCTGACTTGTGCCTTGTAGATGGTGGACAGGCTTTGGGGAGTCAGGAGGTGATATACTTGCTGCAGTATTCCTAGCCTCTGACCTGCTCTTGTAGCCACAGCATTCGTATGGTTGGTCGTATTCAGTTTCTGGTCAATGGTAACTCCAGTATATTACTGTGGTTTTGATGATTGTAATGTCATTGAATGTCAAGGGCAATACATTGATTTTCTCTTGTTGGAGATGATCATTGCCTGGCAGTTCTGCAGTGCATATTTTACTGGCTCTTTTCATAGAATCCCTACAATGTGGAAGCAGGCCATTCAGCCCATCAAGTCCACCAACCCTCCAAAGAGCATCCCACACAGACCTACCTCTACCTTATAACCCTGCATTTCCCATGACTATTCCACCTAACCTACATGCCCCTGGATGCTATGGGCAATTTAGCATGGCCAATCCACTTAATCTGCACACCTTTGAAGTGGAAACCGGAGCACCCGGAGGAAACCCATGCAGACAAGGGGAGAATGTGCAAACTCCACACAGGGTGGAATCAAACCCAGGTTCCTGGCACTGTGAGGCAGCAATGCTAGCCACCGTGCCGCCCCCAAACCTGGGTATCATCCAGGTATTACTTAATTTGGACATGGACTCTTACTTTTAGAGAAATTCATTGATGAAGCAGTTGAAGATGGTCTGGTCTTGGACACTACCCTAAGGAACTCCTGAATAGAGTTGACAGAATATATGTTGAGCATTGGTAAGCAATTTTTGCCAAGCAAGTGCTGCTTGATGAAACTGACAATGGACATTTTAGAACAGGTAGAAAAAGTGACAAAACGAATCATGTGTTGGCTTTGAAGTCTCTTAAATATTTTATCAAAAAGTACTATATGTTGTTTTGCTGTGGTATCTGCAGACTTGGGGGGGTTATGACACATCTTGTAACCATTACATGTTGAGTTCATATTTAAACATGGCCTTCTGTCTCAGGGATATGAACATTGCCACTATATATCAAAGACCTCTTTCGATAAACTGTATTGTGTTAGCAGATGGCTAGCAATAAGGTACAGCATCTAGTTCAAGCTGGTTAGAATGGGAGGGGGAAATTCAGCCAGGACCTGAATGGGCCCTAACAGATCACAAACTACATTAATGAATTAGATGTGTGGACAAATGGTAGAATATCCAAGTTTGCAGATGACACAATCACAGAATGGGTCAGAATGAGATCCTTTGACCCACCTTCCCTTCCTTATTATGGTGTCTCAGGTCCGTTCAATGATCAGCTCTCCATCAGATCATGAGATATAAAAGCAGAACTAGGCCATTCAGACCATCAGATCTGCTCAGTTAGTCAATGAGATCATGACAGATCTTATAATCCTACACTCCACTTTCCTGCCTTTTCCCCATCACCCCGATTGCTTTACAAATTAAAATCCTGTCTGTCTCAACCGTGAGCATTGTGAACGACCCAGCCTTGAGCATTATGAACGACCCAGCCTTGAGCCTTGTGAACAGCCCAGCCTTGAGCATTGTGAACGACCCAGCCTTGAGCATTGTGAACGACCCAGCCTTGAGCATTGTGAACAGCCCAGCCTTGAGCATTGTGAATGACCCAGCCTTGACAACTCTCTGTGGTAAAAAATTCCACCTTCACCTTTGAGAGAAGAAATTCCTCCTTATCTCCATCCTAAATGGGTGACCCCTTATTTTGAGATTAAACCCCCTGATCCTAGACTGTTCTAAAAGACGTTCTAATATAACCATGGCAAAAACTGGAAATCATGTACTATATCCTTCATCTAAGAAAACCTGGGTGTTTGAATAGGCATGGCAGAGGCTGACAGAGAAGAAGAAGCTGGCAAACCTAAGAACAGCTGCTCTCTGAACAGCACAATGAATTTATATCCTCAAGACCATACCATCTGATCGTTTCTGAGCTGCATCTAGGCATGACCTATTTTCATATGGAATCTATAAGCATTGAGCATGGCCAGTCCCTAAATTGCAGCACTCAATCACAGAATCGTGTCATCAATGTACGGCACATCCAGATTGAGAGACTTTGGTTTGATTAATGAGGAAGACGCAGGAATTGGAGATATAGATAGAGTGCCTCGTGGGCAATATTCTGAAACAACTTAGAGTTTTCTCAATGCATATTTCATCAAGTTCCACGGTGCCCCAAGGAATAAAATAGATTTTTTTTTTCCTTTAAAAATACTTTGAATAATTAAATTGCCTAAATGGCAGTAGCAAAAGTTGTGAGCGACAATTTGTCGAGTTCCTTCAAACTGGCTGTTATGGTGAGACCAAACAATGCTTGATGTTTTTAAAAGAAAGAACTTGCATTGATCCTCGCCTATTGTGCTGTCACCTATTGTCAGGATCAAGAGTGTTCAGGTTAGAAAGGACTTCTGGAGAATAAAGGATAACGTTTCTAAGTTAGTGGCCCCAGTACAGAGCTTTACTTGACCAAATGCAGATACACAATAAGAATGAAGGTTAGTGAATCAGATTCAGGGCCTTCCTTTGATGTTGGTGATTGAAATGGTTAACTGGACAATGAAAATGGCTATGAATAAGGTATAGTAGGAACTGCCGATGCTGGAGTCTGAGATAACAAGGTGTGGAGCTGGATGAACACAGCAGGCCAAGCAGCATCAGAGGAGTAGGAAAGCTTTCCTGCTTCTCCGATGTTGCCTGGCCTGCTGTGTTCATCCAGCTCCACACCTTGTTATCTATGAATAAGGTATACTGACTTTCACACATTTATCACATGCATGTATGCTTACTGCTTGATCTTCCACCCTGTGGGGATTCCTGACTGGGATCACAGAGTTCTCCTTCAAAGCTCAGATACCTTACTGGATCCTGTGATAGATGGGTAGTGTCCCTACCTTTAGACCAGAAGATTAGTATTCAAGTCCCATCTGCCACAGAGGTGTGTTTGATCAGATTGATTAAATAAACATAGAGACACTCCTCTGGTGCAGTGGTAGAGTACCTACTTGAAGTTAGGAGGCCCAGGTTCACCAGAAGTGTGCACTAACATCTCTAAACAGGTTGACTAGAAAGTATCTAGAATAGATATAAACTGCCACAATGGGTGGGCGCTGGCTTTCATAATCACTTCACAAAATCAAATTTGAATATGATTTTATAGAATTCATTTGAGACACTGTCTTTTCTTCCTGTGCACATTTAACGGGGTCGTTAATTTGGGTTAATTCAATCATTAGGTTTAACTGGTGATTTTGAAAATAGGATAAAGAGAGACAGCTGGGACAATGGATTGTTTTCTGCGGAAATATGTCACGTTGCATTCTGTGAATAAACTTATTATCAAGAAAACTATGAGTGTCCAGTTACATGCTACACAAGCATGCTTGGGGTTGGAAATAATGGTAACCTGATCTCAGACTAACATTGCATGCCTTAATTTACAAATTGTAAAACATAGAATCGTTCGGCTGACTGCCTGCCCCTCTTCTGCAGTTACGTTCACACCTGGGTGTCCTTGGAGAGGGAGCATGCAGTGTCCAGCAATGCTCTCGCTGCCTTTAGGGAGGTGGGCACCATGGGGTTTGGGGGGTGCGGTGGTGGAGTGTTTTATTTCCCACTCCAACTCTATTTTGATTTGAATCCCTACCCTCCCCACTTCACTTTATGTTTCATGTAAGCGTTGCCCCTACCAGGCTTTGCTTGTTACTGGTTCCCAGGCCACGTTAGTGTTTTTCTCGGTGGCAGAAGTGTTGAATAAAATTATTTTGTACGCGGTGTTTTTACTGAGTCCCTGCACTTAAGCACATGCAATACGGGTGCTGTAGGAGAAGAAGAAGAAAAAAAAATTGTAAAACAAAGAAAGAGGAGTGTCATTCCATGGCATTTACAGGCTTCATGTCCAATTGTAAACTCTGAGACGTCAGCGGCCTAACTTAGTAGTGCTTATTGAGTGGAAGGTTTGTTTTTCTATTATTGGAATTTGTAAGAATAAAAATCATGAACAAAGATGTACAAAACATCACGAGAGACAAACCTTGAAAGCAAGTTCTCCAATCAGTCCGTTCCAGTTTCCATCAGGCTGTTGGCTCCCAAATTTGTGATCAGGAGCCACATAGATTTCATATTTGAAGCCCAGATAATTTGACAAGGCATCCAGGACATCAATCGAGAATCCATAGTATTTCTTTGTTCTTCCGAGTACGTTTTCTGACACCATGACAAAAGGTTCCTCCTGAAAGAGAAGAGATGAGACAGGGTAAAGAGTGCATCAGGATGACTTTGAGTAAATCAGATTCATGAAGACTATTCAAAAGGATTATTTTTTGCTGTGGGTAGTAAGAGTTTTCAGTTTTTTAAAAAAATTCATTCACAGGATGTGGGTTTCACTGGTCAGACTAGCATTTATTACCCATCCCTTATTGCCCAGAGGGCTGTAAAAAGTCAACCACATTGCGGTGGGTCTGGAGTCACATGTAGGCCACATCAGGTAAGGATGGCACTTTCTTTTCCTAAAGGACAATAGTGAACCAAATGGGCTTTTCCTGACAATCAGCAATGGTTTCATGGTCATCATTAGACTCTTAATTCCAGATGTTTATTGAATTCAAATTCCATCATCTGACGTGGTGGGATTCGCACCCTGGTCCACCCGAAGATTACCTGGTTCTCTGGATTAATAATCTAGCAATACCACCATTATGTCATCGCCACTCCAAGTTCTAACAATGTAATGTGTTTCCCGTGATTACCATTGATGTTGGGAGTGTTGGATCACAAAATCAGCCTTGTGAAGCACATTTAGTCAATATTAAATAGGTGACATAGTCACTCACTACATGCTCCCAGTGGGAGGATTTGTTCAAAGGAAACATGGGCTAGAGATGTGCTACCATACTGTAGCTCTGACTTAACAAGCCTTCATGTATCATTGCCCATTGGGATCATACAATCAGTGAATTTCTCCTTTCACTTTGACTGACCATGGAATAAACTGTGTGGTCACACTGAATAAACTAATCAAGTACAGTCACCATAGTCCCAGAGGACTGCTCTCATTCAAGGGAGATGACTGGTGGTGATAAGTTAACCTGAGGGTTAACATGCCTGAGGTAAGGGGTGAATGTGAGAAGGCAAAATCTTCATGGTAACCTCAGCTAGTACAGGAATTAAACCTGTGCTGTTGGCATCACTCTGCATCACAGACCAGCTGTCCAGCCACCTGAGCTAACTGACCCTCTTTAATAAACTACTTGTTTTGCAATTATAATCAATTTACAGTGTTTCATCAGTGACAAATCAGAGCCCATAACTAATGGCTCTAAAAGTAAAGGATCAAAAACTCAATAATATTTTCTCATGAAGAAAATTATCCAGATAATATCTCGACAAAATCTGATGTCAACTGTTTTCAACGTAAATCCCTATGCCAACATTTCTAAAGATGTGGAGGTGCCGGTGTTGGACTGGGGTGAACTAAAGTCAGAAATCACATGACACCAGGTTCTCATCCAAAAGGTTTATTTGAAATCGCAAGCTTTTGGAGCGCTTTGTCAGGTGAAGAAGGAGCAGCGCTCTGGAAGCTTGTGATTTTAAATAAACCTGTTGGACTGTAACCTGGTGTCGTGTGACTTGTGATTTTATTCACATTTCTAATGGACAGTACCAATGAAATTTTAAATGGCTGCACTGAACTTAAATTTATATAAAGGTGGGGGCTCGGATTATGAGGTCCTGTGCTCTGTCAGCCAGCTGGCTCATTCCATCAGGAGATTACCCCAAAAGAATGCCACCAACAGACTGGGTTCAATTCCTGGACCAGCTGAGGTCACCCTGAGGATCTTGCCTTCTCAACCAAGCCCCTCATCTCAGGTACGGTGACCCTCACGCTGAACTCACCACCGGTTAGCTCTCTCTCTCTAATGAGAGAGCAGTGCTATTATCCTTTGAGATTATAGCGACTTTACCCTTACCTACTTAACGCAAAACAGACCGAGAGTATCAAATGTCTTTTACATGAATAAAAAGGAAAGGCTTAAATGCAGCTATGTCACATCTTGCACAGTCTCAGGCCATCACAGAGCACTGTACAACTAATTAAGTACTTTTGAAGGATGGTCTTTATCACAATGTAGGAAATGCAGGCCCTGCAAACTCCTGTCAATAGCAGTGTTGTAAAGATAAGTTAATGTGTTTTGCCGATGTTGGCCGAGGGATACATGTTGACCAGGACACCTGATCTTGTTCTTCAAAAATAGTTATAGGATATCTTTTAACATCCACCCAACAGGGTAGAAGGGGTTCATTGGTTTAATATCTTTTCCAAAAGACAGGAACTTGGACAGTCAAACATTCCCTCAATTCAGCCTTGAATTCTTTTTAGCATCTATGGGTCCTACTGAAAAGAAAGGTCACAAGATTGGTTCTTGGTTTAAGTTCAGTTCACTTGCTCAATCACTGCAGCAGTTACATTGGGCCCAGTGCTCCAAGAAGGGAAAGAAAAAGAGGACAGATCCATTTTGACAGGAGTATATCTCGTGGTAGAAAACTCATCAAAATTGACCGGTCTTACACATGAGCATTGACCAGGAGCAAAAGCAACTTTCAAGTAGTTCTGTATCTGTAGAGAATGATATATCTGTTCTGTTTCACTCAAAAGATGCCTGACCCGTTGAATGTTTCGAGCACTTTGTTTTTATTTCAGGTTTCCAGCATCTGCAGTATTACACTTATAAACTAATTTCAATTGCTTCTCTTGGGATATGAATTTCACTGGCAAAGTTGCATTTACTGCCCATCTCTCTGTCCTTTGAGAAGGACACGGTGCTCCTTCATTTTTGAACTGTTGAAATTTGAAGTAATGATTGCAGAGTAGCGCTGGCCATTTCCAGCCACTAAACTCTGGCAATACAGAATATGAAGTCTCATTGCCACGGAAAGGCAGCCAACACCATCAAGGACCCCTCCCAACCCGATTATAATCTCTTCCAACCTCTTCTGTGAGGCAGAAGGTATGAAAGCTTAAACATACATTCTAACAGACTCAAGAACAGCTTTTTCCCTGCTGTTATTAGACTGCTGAATGGACCTCTCAAACTTCAAATCTAATGTTGATCTTGCTTTTGTACACCTCCTGTGAATCCATAACTTTGTATGCCTCGCTCTGTTCAATCACCCTATGATCTGTTTGGCCTTGTATGTTATGGTCTGCCTGTACTGCGTGCAAAACAAAACTTTTCACTGTACTTAGCTACATGTGACAACAATAAATCAAATCAAATCAAACTTAAGAGATAGTAGGAACTGCAGATGCTGGAGAATCTGAGATAACAAGATGTAGAGCTGGATGAACACAGCAGGCCAAGCAGCATCAGAGGAGCAGGAAGGCTGACGTTTCGGGCCTAGACCCTTCTTCAGAAATGGGGCAGGGGAAGGGGGTTCTGAAATAAATAGAGAGAGAGGGGGAGGAGGATAGAAGATGGATAGAGGAGAGGATAGGTGGAGAGGAGACAGACAGGTCAAAGAGGTTGGGATGGAGCCAGTAAAGGTGAGTGTAGGTGGGGAGGTAGGGAGGGGATAGGTCAGTCCAGGGAGGACGGACAGGTCAAGGGGGCGGGATGAGGTTAGTAGGTAGGAGATGGGGGTGCGGCTTGAGGTGGGAGGAGGGGATAGGTGGGAGGAAGGACAGGTTAGGGAGGCAGGGACGAGCTGGGCTGGTTTTGGGATGCGGTAGGGGGAGGGGAGATTTTGAAGCTTGTGAAGTCCACATTGATACCATTGGGCTGCAGGGTTCCCAAGCGGAATATGAGTTGCTGTTCCTGCAACCTTCGGGTAGCATCGTTGTGGCACTGCAGGAGGCCCAGGATGGACATGTCGTCTGAGGAATGTGAGGGGTATTTGAAATGGTTTGCGACTGGGAGGTGCAGTTCTTTAGTGCGAACCGAGCGTAGGTGTTCTGCAAAGCGGTCCCTAAGCCTCCGCTTGGTTTCCCCGATGTAGGGGAGGCCACAACGGGAACAGCGGATGCAGTATACCACATTAGCAGATGTGCAGGTGAACATCTGCTTGATGTGGGAAGTCTTCTTGGGGCCTGGGATGGGGGTGAGGGGGGAGGTTTAGGGGCAGGTGTAGCACTTCCTGCAGTTGCACGGAAAAGTGCCGGGTGAGGTGGGGCTGGAGGGGAGTGTGGAGCGGACAAGGGAGTCACGGAGAGAGTTGTCCCTCCGGAAAGCAGATAAGGGTGGGGAGGGAAAAATGTCTTTGGTGGTGGGGTCGGATTGCAGATGGCGGAAGTGTTGGAGGATGATGCGTTGGATCCGGAGGTTGGTGGGGTGATACATGAGGACGATGGGGATTCTGTTTTGGTTGTTATTGTGGGGTTGGGGTGTGAGGGATGAGTTGTGGGAAATGCGGGAGACACGGTTGAGGGTGTTCTCGACCACTGAGGGGGGAAAGTTGCGGTCCTTGAAAAATGAGGACATCGGAGATGTACGGGAGTGGAATGCCTCATCCTGGGAGCAGATGCGGCGGAGGTGAAGGAAGTGGGAATAGGGGATAGCATTTTTGCAGGAAGGTGGGTGGGAGGACGTGTATTCTAGGTAGCTGTGGGAGTCGGTGGGCTTGAAATGGATATCGGTTTCTAGGTGGTTGCCAGCGATACTGGCTCTATCCCCGCCTCTTTGACCTGTCTGTCTCCTCTCCACCTATCTTCTCCACTATCCATGTTCTATCCGCCTCCCTCTCTCTCCCTATTTATTTCAGAACCCCCTTCCCCTGCCCCATTTCTGAAGAAGGGTCTAGGCCCGAAACGTCAGCCTTCCTGCTCTTCTGATGCTGCTTGGCCTGCTATGTTCATCCAGTTCTACACCTTGTTATCTTAAATCAAACTTAAGATCAGTTTTCACATCCAACCTGTACTGGTGCATATTGTCTTGTTTGGTTTTCCTCGGTTGTGAGACTTAGGGTGGGCAGTCTTTTTTTTAAACCACTGTTTTCTCATCAGTGGACAAATCCTCAATTGGAGCGTTCTCCACATAACATATTGAGGAATTAATGCGTATGCTACAGGGCCAACCTTGCTTAGCTTACAATGTTGGTCGTCTGTGACCCAGGTTCCCTTATAAAACAAGGATGGGGTGCCACCTTCATATTTCCCAATACCAGTGCACCACTCCACTGCACAAAATCAAGGCTACACAGAGACTGAGATCCCACAGGAGGGCCCTCAAAGCAAGAGCTTGAACTCCCCATGAGTCAGAATTTGCTCAGATCTTTGCAATCACATAAACGATACTATAACCACACTCGGCTTTAGCTTACTGGTGTCACTAACATTTGTTACACTGTTATTAACAACTGTGAAGCTCTTTGGGGAATTAATAAAGTTACTAAATGTTACAGTTGTCCATCCATCTATTTATGCCAGCAAGTATTTTAGATTGCAATTAGCATGCAATCATTTTAAGATCACCCAATCAGTCTCAAAGGACCAACTGTTAAATTGCGAACTGCTGCTGAAGGATCATTGCTGGATAATCGTCATTCTTGTCTGAGTGATTATTAATAGCAACATTGTTTAAAGTTCATTCAACTCCACTCCATTTTCCTTTTATTTGTTTTTTTCCCTGACCTCCATCCTCTGTTTCTTTCTTCATTACAGTTGTTCTTACTCCCCACTGACCTGATACCTGACAGAATACTTTGGATCATGGACATCTGCCTCCTTATTGCTGCACTGTCCAGGTCTGCTGATGGTAAGCTCCTTGTGGCTGACATAAATTGATTGATGGACAACTTGCCCCAAGATAGAAAAGCCTCAATTTTAACTGGCCCCTCACTCCAAGGTAGGGTAACTTCAATTCGATCTTGGGTGCTCGAAATCACAAAATCAAAGAATTGTTAGTGCAGAAAGAGATCCTTCAGCCCGTTGTGTCTATACCAGCCCTCTGAAGTAACATTATGACTTAATGCTATCCTCCTGCCTCTTCCCCATAACCCTGAACATTGTTTCTATTCAATAATCATGTAATGCTTCCTTTATCGCCTCAATTGGGCCTGGCTCTATCAAACTTCCAGGCTGTGCTTTCCAGAATCTTCTGGAATAACAGGGCAAAATGGAGCAGGAAGGGGGAATGACAGTGGAAGGGAATACTGCATTGGATTCATTGGTGGCTATTTAATACTCATGCCCCTTGACTCATCCTGCCTACAAACGGAAATATCTCCCTATTAAACTGCTGAATAATTTTAAAATCTTAAATAGATCTAATTTTAAGTAGGGTGTTCTGGCTGTGCAGAGAGTGCACTGATTCTTGGGATAGTAGGACTGTCATATGTGATCGATCAGTTAAGTCTATATACACTGGAGTTTATAAGAATGAGGGGGATTCTCACAGAAGCCTATAAAATTCCAACAGAACGAGACCGGGAAAATGCAGGGAGGATGTTCTTGATGATCAGGGAGTCCAGGACCTTTCTCACAATCTAAGAATACATTTAGGGCTGAGATGAGCAGAAATTACTTCACCCAGAGAGTGGTGAACCCGTCGAATTCTTTGCCACAGAAAAAGGTTGAGGCCAAATATAGTTCTTAGGCCTAAAGGGATCAAAGGGTATGGGAAGAAAATGGGAACAGGGTACTGAGTTGGATGATCAGCCACGATCCTATTGAATGACAGAGCAGGACTGAAGGGCTGAATGGCCTACTCCTGCTCCTATTTTTCCATCTTTCAATACTTCTGTCTCACCTTATCCTTCCCTTTTCAGCAGAAGACAGTCACAAGTAGCATGTTCTGTCTTTCAGCCTTCTGAATAATCACAGGCTGAGAGAGGATAGACAGATCTTGCAAGGCCATCCTAGAGATCCTGGTATCAGTGGTGGATGTTAGAGGAGTAGATTGTGTCCCACAGACCCTCAGCTCTGCCTTCCCCATCCTCAGGGCACAGAAACCACTCCAGTCAACACCTTGGCCATCAAATGGAAATGATGACTGATTTATAACATTCACATATCTGTGCGAAGGGTTCCTGCAGTTCTCAAGATGAATCAGCCAATGTTACTTGGAAATACAGACTTTGTATAAGTATTTTGGCAAACAGAGTCATTAATTGAAATGAGCAGGGTCCCATTACTCATTTAAAAGGAAGAATGCAGCCACAGATAAGACACAATCCCATACCGCAGTCTTCTTGCTGTTATAGCTCTGAGTTCAATGTATTGACAAGATGTTCACCATACACCCGAATGAATAACAACTCTTGCTCAGGTTAATTGTACGCATTCTCACTAAATAAGCTTATCTGCTCCATGTACACATTTGTGACAGATGAAACTGATTTTGAACACTGATAACCTCTGTCCAAAGCAGAGGATTAATCTAATGTCCTTAGCACTGATTTCTGGCCTCATTAAACCTGCAACAATATTGACCACAAATTGAAATTCACCCACTCCATCAGCTATTTTGTGTGTCTCTAGGAGTGAGGGTAGCTAATGGCGAGAAATGAAAATCTTTCCATTTCGGGTACCAAGTATCTGCACTAAGATCTCTCAGGCTGATAACAACAGGCGGGAACAGAGCAAAGCTCGTTTTACACTGACCCAACATTGTAAGTTGACCCACAATGCCCTTAGGTAGGGAGGTCCAGGATTTTGACCCAACAACAGCGAAGGAACAGTGACGGAAATTAAATACCCTTACCGGCAGAGTTACAACCCGCAGCATCACTCCGCGCATGTTGTTTTCCAGTTTTTTGTCTGTTAGAGATCCATTCAGCCCAGAGTCTGGATTCCATATGGCAAGCTAAGAGGGACAAAAAGCCGGGTCAGTATGTGATTATTTCAAGCAGAACAATGCACCAGCAATATGTATTTAATCTCACTGTATTACCTCGATGAAAGCTCAAAACATTAACATCCATGATCTTATAAGGGCCTCAGTTCCTTTGCATGTGAGGATCTATTACTTCCATTTAAATTACTGGATGCAGAAAAGTCCATTTAGTTTATCTTCAACAATTCTGTTTGTCATTTAATACAACCATGATGGAATTGTTGACTATTCATAACAGTCAATTTCTATCAATGGGTCTACAACAGACTGAGACATGAGATGAGAAAAATCTCAGTGGGGGAGACCAATACGTACCAGAGCTCCAAAGTTACATATTCCTCCTGAAAAGCTACGCACATGTCATGTCTCAAATGACTGATTTAGTGCATTCCAAAATGTGCTTGCTTGAAAGAAATCAATGCATTTTGCTGATTTAATCAATGCTGACCCTGGGGAGCTTGTACTGTAAATTGACCTCTTGCTCACTTCCCACAGATTTGTTTTGTCCTTTAGCTTTACTGCATTGGACAAGGTGAAATGGCTTATCATGGTTTACGTTACTAAGTGCATTTACAATCCTGAACAAACAGAAACTATATCACGTCTCAATTTTCTCTTTTACAGAACAGGTCCAGTTTACATAATCGCTTCACATAAGCCAATTCCTTCATCCACTCAATCATTCTGGCTGCTCTGGCATGTTTCTGTAACTGGTTGAATGCCAAAGAAAGGTGTCAAGAAATATTGCAGCACTCAGACATTGGCAGGAGACAGGCCAGTTAGTTATTCGTTCCTGGGATGAGAGAATTATCCTACGAAGAAAGGTTCGACAGGATGCACCTGTAGCCATTAGAGTTTAAAACAATGTGAGGTGATCTCACTGAAACATGTAAGATCCTTACAGGACTTGATGAGATAGATGCTGAAAGGATGCTTCCCCTTGTGAGAAAGACTAGAACAAAGGGAAATGATTTAGAAATTAAGGAGTATCCGACTTACGATGAAGATGAGAATAAATATTTTCTTCCAGAGGTTCATAGTCTGTGGTATTCCCTTCCCACGTAGTGGTGAAGATTGGGTCCCTGAATATTTTTTTGAAGGCAGCATTAAATAGATTATTGACTTAACAAGAAACTCAAAGGCTATCAGAATGGTAAGCAGGAATATGGTGCGGAGATCATAATCAGATCAATCTTGTTCTCATCACATGGTGGGCAGGGCTTCTAATTTGTACGTTAATCGATTTGAAGTGTCTGGGCTACGCACATCCCTGTTTGTGGATGCTTTAGAGAGATGTACATTAATCTGCTGCTCACTTGTTCCCTGATTGATTACTTTGAAGGAGCCAGACTGAGGAGCACTCTATATGGAACATGTTTTTATTTTCTCCAATGTTGAGCTTACACCTGGACATGACAGATGGACAGTATAATGATGGCAGGTTACTGTGGCATGTAACTTTTCGTGTTTGATTTAGATTTGCATAATCACCAAACTTTATGAGATGAGCTGCCACATGTTCTATCAGGTTTACTCATCAAGCTGCAAAGCTCCCTTATATGCACTGCTGAACTTAAATAAACCATTTCTTAATTTTAGACAACTTTTCTGAATATCACAATTCTGATAGCCTCAGGGGAACTTTAAAACAGCTTGCAACATTTATATTGTTCTCAAATTTAAAAGTGAATATGGTTTCATATCAAAGCAGAACTGCTGCTGAAGGTGCTCTAGGTTTAAGATTCATTTGCAATTGATAACTGTTGGTCAGATTGCTTCTAATCATTCAAGGTTTGTGTGTAGGCAATGTCTCAATAATGGATGTTTTAATTTTATTCTTAAATCAGTGGCAATTACACATGTGGAAACAACACTAGCTTCTTCCAACAAGCATTTGCTGGTATCAGCTGTGGTTCAGTGGGCAATTTGCTTTAATCTGACACCTAAAGGTGATGGGTTCAAGCCCCATTCTGGATTATTGTGATATCTAGGTTGATGATCTTGTTGTAGAACACTGAGAGAAACAAGGATGTGTCTAGTCTCTCAGTTTGATAAATACATGTCCCAAAACTTTACTATAGGAAGAGCAGGGAGTTGTACCAGGTCTGCTGGCTATTATTTATCCCCCATTTAACATCACTTTCACCAGATTATTTCGTCATTTAATTCAAATTGTTGTTTGTAGGAGCTTGCTGTGTGCATGTTGGTTGTCATATTTCCTACATCACAACAGTGTCTGAACTTCCAAAGAACTTTATTGATTGTCAAATTTTTTGAGATATCCTCATTTTGTGAAAGGTACTACATAATTGGGTAACAGAAAAAGGAACTTACCGCCAGTTATCTCTCTCCAATGAGAGAGCAGCCTTATTGTCATAGAACATAGAACAATACAGAACAGTACAGGCCCTTTGGCCCACGATGTTGTGCTGACCTATTATTCTACTCTAAAATCAAACTACCCTGCATACCCTACATTTTACTATCATCCATGTGCCTATCCAAGAGTCATTTGGGACTTTATTTACTTACCAATAACGCAACACAGTTTGGAGATGCAACCCAAACTCTTCCTAATTTGTAGAGATCGGTAACATATGACATGGTGTATTATCAATTAAACTGCATGGCATCTAATTCTGGGATTCTTTTATAAGAGCTTAAACTCCCATAACATTGTCATTAATAGCATTTACTTGAGACACTGTTCAGTCAGGTAGAACCACTGGGAGGCATATGGTATTAGCAGAGTTAAGAGATTACATTAAAAGTGAAGAAACAAGAGTCTCCAAATATAATTAAATATATTATAACTCTCAGTCATTAAAATTGAAAAAGCCTCATGTGGCCTTACTCAACTGGTGAACATTTTTTCTCGTAATATACTTTATCTGCTTTTGCCTGTTGCTACAACAACACACGCCTGTGTTTATACCTGGGTAAACTAAAACAAGAACAGCTTACATGTGTGTAGCAAGGCAGTAAATGTCCCCAATGTCACAGGAATGATGAAAAAGTGACACCAATCCATTTAAAGTACAGCAAACTTCCTGTTATCCAGTAACCAAGCAACCAGAATTCTCATGCGACCGGCAAAAGTTTCAAAGAAGATTTATAATTTTTATAAAATTTCTTCAAAAACATCTATTTGAACTTGGCACACCAAATTCCAATGTGCTTAGTTTACCTGCATGTTGTAGTTCTCCCAGTCGCTGCTAGCAACGCTGCCTATTATTTCTCTTCATGCAGTTGCCATTATAGAGGAAGTGCTACTAGTGTTTCATTTTGTTTTTACTTAAAGAATACTAGACTGTACACCCATAAGACCATAAGAAACAGGAACAGGGGTAGATGATTTACCCCCTCGAGTCTGCTCTGCCATTCCATAAGATCATTGCTGATCTGACACTCCTCATGTCTACTTTCCTGCTCTTTCCCTGTAACCCTTGATTCCCTGACTGACCAAGAATCTATCTATCTCAGACTTAAATATAGACAAGGACCTTGCTGCCACAGCTCTCCATTCCAAAGACCCACAACTCACTAACGGAAGTCACTCCTCCTCATCGCAGTCTTAAATTGGTGTCCCTTAATTCTGAGACCATGCCCTCTGGTCCTAGAGTCTCCCAACAGGGGAAACATCTTCTCAGAATTTAATCTGTCAAGCCCCTTGGACCATTTGAGGCTGCGGTGTGACCATATAGAGGTTTATAAAATCATAAGGGACATAGATAAAATTAATAGCCAAGGTCTTTTCCACAGGTTAGGGGAGTCAAAAACTAGAGTGCATAGGTTTAAGGTGAGAGGGGAAAGACTTAAAAGGGACCCGAGGGGCACCTTTCTTACATAGAGTGTAGTGCGTATATGGAATGAGTTACCAGAGGAAGTGGTAGAGGTCATTACAACATATGAAAAAACATTTGGACAGGCGTATAGGTGGGAAAAGTTTACAGGGATATCAACCAAACGCAGGCAAATGGGACAAGTTCAGGAGACCTGGTCGACAAGTTGAGTCAAACGGTCTATTTCCGTGCTGTATGAATCTATGACTCTATGAGATCGCCTCTCATTCTTCTAAACTCCACTGCGTAGAGCCCCAACTCGATTAGCCTTTGCTCAAAAGACAATCCCTCCATGCTAGGGGATCATCCTAATGATCCTTCTCCGACTGCCTCCAATGAAATAATACTTTATCTTAAATAGGGGGCAAAAACAACACACAGTGATGCGGTCTCACCAGCATCTTGTATAGTCGCAGCAAGACTTCCCCTCAATCATACCCCAACCCCATTTCCCCATACCTGCCAGATAATGGGGAGTTTACCATATTCGAGCGGAAGACCAAGATATTAGTCCATGAGATAATTTTTCAATGGATTTCTTAAAGGGGGAAGGAGAGGTGGCGAGGCAAAGAGGTCAAATAAAGGAAACTATGAGGTTGTGATTGAAACAGTAAAGACACAACTTCCATTCATGTGGCAAATGAAACTGGGGCTGTCTCACAGTTCAGAGGATTATAGAATTGGAGGAGATCACAGAGATAGAAACAGGAAAGGCCATGAAGGCATTAGGACAAGATGTCTTTTAAAACAGAAATTTTAAATTTCAGGCCTCACTTAGATCAGGAGCCAATGTATAGCCAGTGGGCCCAGTAAGAGCTGGCACTTAATGCAAGTTAGAATTTGGCCAGCAGCATTTTGGAGCAGTTGAAGATTACAATCATAGAGGTACAAGTTGGGAAGTCTGAAGAAAGACTATTGGAAACAGATTGATATACAAACTGTCTTCACCCTCGGAATATCTGACTGTGCTACCAGGTAACAGGAAGCAGAGCACAGCTGAATCTATATTGCTGCTTTCTCAGTTCAAAATCATTGTTGGTAATTGGTTGGGATATGATTTAGCAACGTGCTTTAAAGTCAATCCCAGTGATAAAGTAAAGAGACTAATTTAACAGAAAGACAATATGG